CCCCAAAACCCCAAAACCCCAAATGATTGGATATATCTATATTTAAAAAAGAAATCTTAATCAAAATTATTAATTTCCCAACATAGAAATATTGAAGAGATTTTTTATTTAGGAGGAACTACGAAATTAAATTTTTATTTATCATCAGAAAAATTTTAGATAACTTAAGAGGCTAAAAAGCCTTATTATAGATTGATAATCTCTAATTTCAAGCTCTGATTCGTACAGCTTTCTCAAATTATTTGAATCTAGTTCATTTCATATGAGATTGACATTCTGATGAGAACCGGTAACTATTTAATTTTTCGCATCCAGCCCATAGTAATGATATCTTTAAATATTCCTAGCATCTTGCTAATTAATTTTTAAAGTATTGATCTGATTTAAGTAAATATCCCTTGCTAAATCATAAACAAATTAATTAGAAATGTTTTGTGCAAAACAGTCATTAATACAGCTTTTAGTTTAATCTGAGCTAGTATTCATTTTTCATTCCTTACTAATGAGAATCATAAGTAATACGCGCTAACCCCTTAAATTTTTCATGAGGATTAAGTCATCTTTGATTAGATGCTAAGTACCTAATAGTCAAGTATATGATAGAGGCTTTGCTAAAAGTATAATTTCTGCAATAATCTTGCACTTTTTGGTTGTTTATGGTGCAGCAAGTCAATGCAATAGCACAATGAAGTTTTGCGATGGTAACGGAAACTTTGATCCTATAACAAACTAGCGAATTTTCGAGGGATCTATCTCTCTATTCCAAAGTGCTTTCTACAATACTTTCTAAGAAACTTGAGCGAACTCTTCGCAGCCAAACCCCTCTTATTGTGACGGTTCATTATTTCCTTAGTCTCAATAGCAGATCACTTCAATATAACAAATTGGAAACAATGAAAATGATTTTGATGAGAACGTTAATCCAGACTTGGTGCATTATTACGAAAATTCAAACTCTTAAATACCTAACATGGAGGCTTTTATTGGAAATATTGTTGCCTTCTAAAGGTGCTCTTATGTATTTAACTTTGCCTACAATCCAGTAAGTAAAATTAAGACATATCAAATTCAAAGGTATACAGTTTCCATTGAGTATGATAAAGAATTGAAAAGTAAGAGGACTATATTCAACAAAAAGAGTGAGTATACATTTTAAAGAGCGAAAAATGGTTATAATGATTTCCCCTGTACTACGACTGAATTTTACTATCATCCGGGAATTAAAGGCATTATTTACTTAATGGATGACAATCTTACAATAAGTGTAATGTAAGATGCAAGTTTTCCTAAAAATGGAGATCCTTGCGAGTATGATCTCTTTAATAATTCACAACAGATTAACCAATTTAATTTTTCGATCAAAGATTTCGATTTATTCCATCAAGGATTACTTAGAAATTTCATTTTTTTGAATGAAACCTTATATATAGTAACACATGGGTAAATAAGCGATAAATAAAGTCTAGGATTATAATCTAAAATATGGAGAGTAGATTTGTTCCCACAATCTCCAAAAAAGTTTCTTCATCACTTAGTATAAAACACTTCAGCTAATGAGATCATAACCTAAATAGCATCTTTGGAGACTATCGGATTTATTTATACAAAAAAAGATGTTAGGGGTTATACACTATCAGCACTAAATAAATCTGATAACTTCAATAGTAGTAACAAACCTATAGAAATTGCAAAAACAGATTATTGGAAAATATATTAATCAAGGGCGGATAATCATATGCATCGGCCTATATTTGGAGTAAATAGTTCATATCCATCAGCAATATCTAGGCTTACTTCAATTCCTGCCTAGGTCTTTAATGATATCACAAACAATACAGATTTCTACAATTTTACAGTATAATTTGCACGATTTCATGCTTTAGTACTCAATCCTGGACTTTGCGGTTAAACTAGAAATACAACTGACTATAACAATATAAGAGCTTTCGTTGTAAATCTGAGAAGAATGGAGTTAGAAAAGTGCTTAAATTATACGCTTGTTGGCTGTGGAGATGGTGTATATAGAAGTAAAAATGAAGGGGATTGTGATGATGGCAATCTTATTGATGGAGATGGATGTTCAAGCAACTGTAAGATAGAGACATTTTACAATTGCACTCAAGTTGAAGGAAAGAAAAGTGTTTGTTCTCAAATATTATGTGGTAATGGTAAAAAAGACTTTGGAGAAGAGTGCGATGATTAGAATGAAAGAGATGGGGATGGTTGTAATTCAACATGTAAGGAAGAGATTGGATGGAGTTGTGATAACCTTTCCTCATGCAAAAAAATGTGTATGGATGGCAAAGTTTACTAGCAAAATAAGATGCATGCTAATGGCTCTATTTATGAATACTACAGAGAGGAATGTGATCAAGTAGAAGGCTGCAATAACGAGACTTGTAAAGCTGTCCTCGGTTGGAACTGCACTCAGAATATGGAAGATTAAACATCAAAATGCACTTAGATTTGTGGTAACCTACACAATGATCTAGGGGAGGTATGTGATGACGGTAACAATGTTGGTGGAGATGGTTGCGCTCAGGGATGTAAGCAAATTGAATAGTCATATAGTTGCCCGTTAGTTGGCAAATGTTCTAGCAGCTGTGGAAATCATAAGTTCGAAGGTATTGATCATTCGATCGAGTATGAAAAAATACTAGAAGGTGAGGAGTGTGATGATGGAAACAACCTAAACGGTGATGGATGCTCATCTGCTTGCGTAATAGAAGAAGGGTACACATGTGTGAACATAGTCTGGAAGCTCGTTTATGAAATACCTATCTACTACTCATCATGCAAAAAGTCCACTGGAGGGAATGGTGAAACAAATGGCACTAAAGCATACTATAAATACATTTAAACAGAAACTGAGTTTATCTTTGACGATAATTCAGTTAACATAAGATAATTAAGTGGGAAATTCAGACTCATCGAAACTGGGGATAGCTAGAATGTTTATGGAATAAACTATGCATCAAACAAATATGGTTACAATTTTCTTTCATATCTTAAAAGTGGCGAATAACCCGTTGAATATATTAAAATCTAACTACTAAAAAATGGTACTGCCTCATACTATGAAGAAATTAATTACCCTTATTCACACTAATACCAATTTTCCCTCTCTAATACTTACACTGGATATCAAAGAGGAACTTTTGGAAAATATTTAGTTAAAAATGACAATCAAACCTCACTAGGATTTTATGCATTGGTGAAAAATAATTAAACTGGTGACATTAGTTTTGATAAGATATACAATACTCTTAATCTTGAATACAATCAGTATCTTGGTAGTCATGAGGTATGGTACTGGCCTTACGCTAATGCAACTATTGCTAGATATATAGATGGAATTAATTGGAAAGGCCATGGATTTAGTAAGAATATTTTACAGATGCTTAAGAATCCTGAAATGTACCCAGATAATGAGAGAATAGAGGGAAGATTCTAGAGGCAAATGACTATGAGTGGCTAAATCTAATTGCCAATAATATTCTACAAATGGTTCATTATAGTTTATGTTAGCACATCTACATCTTCAGGGGCATTGAGAGTTTATAAGTATTTTGACGATATTGACTATTTAGTCCCTTACAACAATGAGTTAGTTTTTACATCTACAAACAATTAATACAGATAGTACTCTCTAGTGTTTTTCAACAAAGACTTTGGGATCATCTTTAAGAGAGCTAGCTCAAATGTTTTGATAAGATACCTAGTATCATCAATGACCACCACAAGTTCTCCTACATTCGATGATCGAGGTTTAATTTTGTAAGGTTACTAACTGTCAGAATTGATTATGATTTAAAGAAGATAGGATCCTGATAATCCTGAAGAAGAGCGAGATGTTTATGGATATTTCCCTTAAATTTCTGAGATTTACAGAATAACTTCTAATGTCTAAAAAGGCAATGGAGCACTAGAAGTTGTTGAAAAAATAATTATCCCAGCTCTTGGATTAGAACTTTAGAATGGATTTATTGATGTTGGAAAGTACTTTATTGTAGTCTATTCAGCTGTTTAATGTGGAGCTTAGATTGGTCAAGTAATCAATTCCTCATCGGCTTATTTCTACAGGTTTAGTACCAAAGAATGGCTGTGTATGAATCTTAATAATCCAGCTGGTTTAACATAAGTATTTGCATGGTAGACAACAGTCGAATCACCTAATAATACTATTTTATGAGGATTTTAAGATATTGAGCCGAAATAAAATTTATTAAACTTAATTATTCACTGAGCATTTTTATTTGATAGATAAGGGGTTTTGGGGTTTTGGGG